GCCGCGATTTCTGATATTATTTTTCTGCGAAAACTTCGTTGACCTTTGGAGACATCATTAATATAAATAATTTTTATGGCCGTTAAATAAGAAATGTTTCTTTCACAAGAAATGTATAAAATTACAGTACTAAACAGACGATAGGTCGCCTAACTCGCCGTAGCGTGACGCTAGACGGCGAAAAATATATATTTAATTATAATAAAGTTACAATAAATTAAGTTAATATATAATTATATATACAGTACCTAATTTATATATAATTAATATATAATTATATGTACAGTACCTAATTTATATATAATTTATATAATACTGTCCAGACGATAGAAATCTCTCCGTAGCGTGGCGCTACGGACGGCGGGTAAGTAGTTCGGCTGCCCGATGACGTTTTACGTATTATAGGAGTTATTTTTACCGTTGTTTACGGATAATGCCACAATTTTTATAGGAATCATAACTATAGGAAACGGTTTTATAGGGGGATCTACTGTATATATAGATAAAGAATTTTAAATGGTAATAAGGAAAGTAAAATCTTCATTAAGTTCGACCCCACTGGAGATACAACAGGCAACTTCTATCTCCTCACCCCTCGACCTTTCACCACCAAATTTTACGCCATCGATTCCATAATGCCCAATCCTCCCGCAAAATTTCAGAAATTTTCGACAAAACGTGCGGGAGTTATTCAGTTTCGAAGTGGATGAATGAAATTGCATCCCCCACGCAATGATATTGCTTCGTTAATTGACCACATTGTTTTATAAAGTGTTCGAACTCATCCGCTGCTTTTGTGTCTGAATAAATACAATAATTGATTTGTGTTCGAATTGCTAAAAATTACTGGACACGGTTTCAAATATACCACAAAAATGAACTTTACATTTCTGTGTGCACATGTTTGTGTGTTATTTAACACACATTATTATGCAAATCAATATAAAAATAACTTAAAATTAAAGTAAAATTTGTTTATTTTTGGTTGCATGTTTCCCTATTCCTATTTACTCTATGTTAAAATGATCCCATTTAACGCTGTTTCGTTTAGCATTCATCTAGGAATGCATCCCCCCCGTTAAGCAGGGTCTTACTGTAATTCATAACCCAACATTGCTAATTTGATATACATAGAGTAGCAAGTAACTAACTAATATTAAATATTTGAGAACATGTTGATTAACATTGTTGGTAATTACAGAGAGACTTAAGTAAATGATTAATTATAGTATTAAAATTTCTTCAGAAACCAGATTATAGAATAACTTTGTCTCTATGTTACTGTAACACAATTAGAATTTCTGACAGCAGAGTGACACACCAAGTTATTTCAAGTTTTTTGGAACTTGAAATAGCTTGTTTGCTGTTGTGTTAGCTCATAAAGATGTCATCAAAGAAGTATTTGAATACCTAGCACAAATCAAATAGTTCTCAAATCTTGCATTGGAATATTCCCATTTTTAGTGGAATCACTTTAAATTAAGTCTGATACTTGCAATATAATTTTATGTATGTAAAAGTGATTTTACTATAGAAAATTAATGTAGCAATATTAAATTTATATGGTACAGTTTACAGTTTTAAAAGCAAAGAAAAAAAATACTAAAATGGGCATGATGGGAATGATGCTCGGCATAAAGAGCTGGTATGTAGCATTTGGTATACTGCCACAGACAGAAGCAGAATTTATCTGTAAACAATAATTGATGCCATTCAGTAGACCACTGAATGACATCCAAGATGATGCAATTCATGTCCAGTTGCGATGACAATGACACCACACCAGGCATGCAATCCTGTGTCAAGTAGTTAATGGCACCTCCATTGCTGGTTGCCCTGCATGCAGCCCAACTTCATACAACCTGTCTTGAATGGTTTAGGTGAGAACAGATGCACCCATTGATAGCAACAGGCAGCTTCAGATATCATGTGCTGTAACAAACAGGTTCCAACAGGCCGTTTGACAAATCTGCCAGTCTGTGCATTCTTGTTGTGCATTGGTGCAATCCACTCCCTCTTCAGCATATTTGCAGATGCTCCTGTGTCCAACGTGTCACACATGGCTACTGTGAGCATTGACAAATTGAAGTCATGAAGTCATGAAGCTACAGGATATAGTCTCATTCTCCAGCTATTATCTAGTGGTATTCAGCTTGCTGTCATCTCCGAGGCATTTTCTAAGCTTTGAAAGTTTGGCTGCTGTGAATGCAAAGTTTGCTAATAGCATTTACAGCTAAAGCCAGCTGCTTGTCTTAATAGCCCAAAACTGGATATTACATGATCTAATGTGTATAAAAACTTAATCATTTGCATATCTCTGTCACCTCTACCAAACCTACAATTTGCATGTGGCTACATGCATTCCTTCAAGATATTGCAATTTCACTTTTGAAGAATGTAATATATAGATTTATTGCTCCATTAAAGCATTTATTGTAAACGCAGAGCCGTGCCGTGATACAAATGCTGCCGTGATACGGGCAGCATTTAAGGGGTGCCATTTCAAAGACTTGCATCATACTGAGAAAATCTACCGCACAGCCCTATGTATTATTATATACAGTTTGTTTTGTATTCCTTATTCTTTTTTAATCCTAATTTGGTTTAAAGATTTTGCTTTTAATTACAACTAACATCATTTTTACATCAGAAATCACACTAACAGATTAAATTTAACTATGAAAAATATACATTCCAAAATAATTTTGAGAAACAAAACCATTTAGAACTTACATTCCTATTTTAATTGATGGTTATACAATAAATGGCAAAAATCAGGAAAAACCTCATGACATTAATTGTCATTAGGAATGTAGATTCCACTTGTGTAGTCATCTATCTTTTATTTATGGTATAAATTGTACATCCTAAGTACTACTGGGCACAGCTGGGTAATAACAATACAATGATGATTTACAAATGTCTAACTAAAGCATAAAGAGTGCAGATAAACAAGTTTGTGTTTGGTTAGAAGAGACATTGCTTTTTGTTGAAAGAAAGTCTAATTGAAAATTTTTGTTGCAGATTTGTGTGTCCTAGGTAGATTTCCTAGGATTGGGTCAGCATTCTGTTTACTTCTGTTCTATTGAAGTAATTAT